TGGTCTTTCCGGGCAATGAGACAATATTCTCACAGGGTGCAGAATCTAGGTTAGGCTTAACTTTAACCAAAGCTAAGAACTACATGATGGGTTGCTTGTTTTAGTTAAAATGAAGACATTTAGGCAAAAACACCATGTGGGGTGTAAGTTTCAGCTTATCCTTATACAATGCTGTTTTGAGAATTCACCATAAGGGCACGGAGTGCTCCTAACTGTCAGGCTGAAGTTATTGGCACTAAAATATCAGTTTTCACTGACAAGTAGTATAAGAGAACTGGTTCCTACACGTCTGAACGGGGGCCATACAATTCTTGCAGTCCAAGGAGGATGGAATCTCTGATTGACATGAATGAGGCCCTTGAGAAACCTAAGAATGAGCAACCAAAACACAAAAAATGACTGCATGACTTTCAGTCAAAGAAAACAAGAAGAAATTGACCTAAACGGAACTTTCTAGAACTAATGAACAGCCTAGATTTCTTAAAAGATCATCAATAGTCAGATCGCTTTAGCCAAAATGCCAACATTATGTTGCCAGTGAGCACCTCAGTCACTGCAAGGGTTGTTTAGCAGCTCTCCATCCAGACCTCAAATTATCTTCTGGTTAATAAACAGACTAGAACCAAATACCTGACAGGACCGAACAAAAACTCAATAATCAAAAGAGTGAGATCCTTAAGAGTGAGCCTTGGAGTGAAGAACAGGCTGAGGTTTACCAGCGATCTTGATGTTGTTTGTTTGTTTTAATTCTGTTTGATGAGCTCCTCTCATAACAGATCCTGAGCACAAGCTCCAAAAAGAAGGAGATGTGAGTCCCTCTCTTCTCCTTTATTAGCAAAGACTAACAAATGTATTAAAGAGATGTAGCTTTCTGAAACAGAAGTCCCTTCTAGCTTTCATCTTTGACAAGCTACAGTCATCTTGATGGGGGGAAAACATGATTTGATCCTTGATCCTGGAAAGAGATTTATTCAGGCATTAAAATAAGAACTGTAATGCTTACTGAGAAATGGAAAACCCATACTATCCTAAACTCTAAAGCCACTAACAACTGGAACTATAAACAGCACTACATGCACAGCAGATGTGGGACAGTCCCTATTCTGGCACTGGTACCTAGAAATTAGCAGACCCACCATACTCTTTGTCCTCATATCTAGTACCTATGGTGGAGCTACAACCCTACTCAAACAATGCTTGTAACCTATTTTTGTACAGAACAGCAGAGTTTGAATCCCAGAAGGCTACTCCCCTTTTCCAATCTCTTTTTTAAGCACAACCTCCTCAAACCCTTGAGTTTCTTCTGGACGTCCATCATCTAGCAAGACTGACTTTGCTACAGCATGTAATCCTACAGTTCTTCCCCTTCTCTCAGCAGGTTAGCTCCCTACACTAGGCTTTATTTTAAAATTATTTTGTTTATATACTCAGTTAGTGAGTTTGTTAAAAACTCTTATGTTTGTAAATAAAGAGCTTTTCAGCTCACTGGGGATATTAAACTAAAAGGAAAACACGCAGAGTTTTTAAAACTGCTAATAACTATCATTCCTCTGCTGCCTTTCATCCTTCGTTTCACAAGATCCCAGGGCTCTTTACAAATGTAAATATACAGCCTGCTGTCCCAGCAGTGACATGCAGACAGTCCTGGGATGAAACATGGCTGCTCTAGGACATGACTGCATCACTCCAACTCCTATCTCATCATGCTGGGCTTTCACTTGTGCTCTGCCACCCTGTGGCTGTTTGACTGCACAGCTCAAGCGTGTCAAACGCCTACTGCCCACAGAAAGATGCCTTACACACTCCAAGAACTCTGCCAGAGCAGCTAGCTCATTTTTTTCTGTAGTGAGGTACTTGCAATGAATTAATACAAGCAGTAGAAAGCGAGGAGAAGAGCTGCTTTCAGCTGAGGGTCACCAACAAACACACCAGGAGAGGACATTTCTGCTTCAGGATTTGGTCCACAGCCCAGAGTTAATGGCTCTACCCCAGCCATTAAATGTCCTGCAGCTCTTTGTAGAAACTCTTCTTTGAAAGGTGGGTTGCAAGTTTCATCTCAAGTCCTCATTACCAATGCCAGCACATGCCCCGTTTTTAGGTGGGGAGATTTAGCTTTGATTCCAAGCAAAGGATGCCACCTACTGAATCCTTGCTACCATGATTGCACGCCTTGACCCTCGCAGCTCGAGACCTCTGGCAGGATCGCAAGCCAGACTGCAGTACCAAAATAAGCTCCAAGGAAAAGCAGAAAACAGGCTTGGAAAAACAAAGCTTTTCTCAATGCTACTCTCCCCACAACCCAGAGATGTATTACTCACTGAACATCTGCACAACCATAATAATTTCTAATTTTGCAACACTGACAACCTTAGTAGTATTAAAAAAACTCCTTACATCTTTATTCCATTTTGGATTCATTATAACACAGCCTGACAATATCTGCTAGTACATTACATTCTGCAACATTTAACCCCTGTTCCCAGTTGCTGTTCTTAACTTCACGGCTTAATGACACAGAGTCAGTAGATCACAATATGACCCTGTTAATATTTTTTTAATGCCATTTTTACAAATTACAGCATAATGCACTGATTACAAGGATGAAAGGAAAGTCTCCACGTCTGTCTGGAAACCAAATAAAAGAATGTTTGAACATCTGTTCATCCTACAAATGTCTTTAAAAGCTTTGATTTTCCCATAATCATTTTGTTCCACCATTTCACCCTTTTTCGAGTGTGTATCCAACAGCCTCAGGACAGCAGCCAGAGATCTGCAGTAATAGCACATTATAATCAAAGTTCTTGGGCATACTTAAGTTCTCCTTTTGGAATTAAAATTGGGGGAAAAAACAAAACAGCCTTCAACAGATACCTCTCCAGCTGTCTGTCCCACACAAATCTCTGTGAGGGGAGCAAAATGAAAGGATGGGGCTTTGCAACAGGGGCTTTACACAGAGGACAACAAAGCACTGGGGCAGAAAACGGTGGTGGGTGAAGGCAGTCATGAAATATGGGATGTGTGCCTCCACACAGCCTGCTGCTCCTGGGTCAGCAGTAACTGCCCACAAGACCTCTGCCCCAAGCCCAAGTGCCTGAACAGTTACTCACCCCACACAGGAGTGGGATAAACTGCAGGATAGGAGCCTTCCTCGCCAGGCTGGGCTCACAACGCCTGCTGGGGCAGCCCTGACAGCACCCACGTTTAGATCTCCTACTCCAGAGGCAGGAGCAGAGCCACAACACCGATAAGCAGAAAGCAAAGGTGGGAAATGGGAGCACTGAGAAGAAAGTTAGGTCTTGGACCGAGAGGATGGAAGAGCAATGGTGAGTTCATGCTCTAGGCTAAAGAAGATATAGAAAATGGGGGGAAAGACCAAAAAGGGTATTATAGGAGACTGGATGAAAAAGGGATGGAGGTACAACTCTGGAAGCTGTTGTTGCTCCCTCCCTTGGAGTACCCCAAGCAAACAAACTGTGGGACCCTCCACACCAGATGACTTTTCAGCCAAGCACAGGCCTGCAGAGCTGTTAGAGTTCAGCACTAAAGAGTTTCCAAATGGATCGAGTTCCGTAACAACTGAGTCACTGAGGCTGCTACAGGCAGGCAGCAATGGAGAGGAAAAATATTAATCAGATAATGCTTTGTAAAAATAGCTACCACTATTTACATTTATAGGACATACTGACTCCTCTCAAGAACTATTCAAAAATGCCTTTCAAACAAGAAAGACAAAGACCTGCAAGTGCAAGGCTCACAACTCTGGAGCGGCCAACAACATCCTACAGCATGATACCCTTCAGCATTAGTGCCCTTTTCTTTCCAAAACTCTAAGCAGAGTTGGCAGAATTTTAGTCACCCATTTAAATTTTGGCAAGGACATTAGAACTATAGAGATAAAAATGTCAGATCCTTAATAATTCATTTTGATTTTTTGTTTATAATGAGAGTGTTGTTTTTTTTATACCAGTAATTCTTAGACTAACCTGGTGTGGTAATAACGGCATTCCTCCTATGTCATTTGTTTCTCTAGCTTCCATCACTGCAGTATCTTAAGCAGAGGTAACAGTGCAGGATACAAAACTGGATTTGATAAAGGCTTAAAAGAAAGATAACATAATAAATATTCTTTCCAAAGACTGCCTTTAGGGGTGTCTGGGAAGAGAAGAGTAATAGGGGAGGAGAGGTGACAGAGGTGTGAAATGCATCTTTTTTCATTATAGAAGGATACGTTTTCCAGCAAGGCTGGCAGCACAAGTCACATTAAGCCACAGCTGAAGTTGCCTGCCTAATTCCTCTGGGATCACACTGAAAGCATACCCCATAATCTTATGGGATGTGCTAAAGCTTTGCTGGGACTCACTCAGCAGAAACTGTTTGGGATTATTCCACAAAGCACTAATTCTGTTCTGATTTAAAGAGACACCATCAACCCAGTTAGACACAAGATGCCTGTCTCAAGACTGTCCAGCTGTAAACATCTTCTCAATAGCTGATATTTTTGCCATTCATGTCCACTTTGAATACCTGGAAATTAAAAGGAAATGAAAAAAATGTGAAAAAAACAGGATTATGTTAGCACGATGGATTCACTCCTATTGATGGATGTTTGAATAACACTTTGGTAAATGAGTACAGTGATCTATTGCACTTACTTCTGCGTGCAACTAACACACTTACGTTATTTCCATGGCTGGCTCCACCGAATGTATCGCAGGCTCCAATTTAACATCAGTAAGTAGAAGTACTTATTTTATTCAAAAGGCACAAACTAACACTTTTCATGCTATCAAACCTGATTTCTCTTCAAGACTTCCGTACCTGTGGAATTAGTGATAGCTTTTATGTTATGGCGTTCTATGTTTTGTAAATAACAAAAAAGGGATACTGCCAATGCCCTCCTTTTTATGAGCCTCAAACATGAAATTGAGAGGAAGAACTAAAGCAGCCATGAAATCCCCATTAAACAACTAATGGTTTCTAAAGCATCTTGGAGATATTCATTTTACAAGGCTTATGCTGCAATCTTCTATCATTATTTTAATGAAATAAAGCCTCTATTTCCAGAGGCAACTTTTTCTTTCAAACACAAAAGGCATTTCGGTTACAAAAAAAAAAAAGAAAACAATTCTGGAATAGGATTCAACACAGAACCAGCAGGAAATTCAGAAAAGCTATATTAAATGTTACCAAAGATAGGTTCTGAAACTTTGGAACAGCAAACAGAACAATTAAGACTCTCAGTTACACGCATCATTATGTTTAATATGAAAAACATTTCTAGATAGAAATCATTTATAACAAAGATCCATACCACCTCTTAGATAGCATCTTACATAGTCACAGCTGAAGGAATGTGAAATATTCATTTAAGGTTTCACCTATTATTGTGTGCTTTTTGTCCCATACTTTGCTTGGGAAGTAAACTTAAACAAATCAGCTTCACTTTGTAGATCACATGAAATGCACATCTTGACTGCACTTAAATCAATATCGGTGGCAAACTTATATTACGTGAAACAATTCTCCAGAAGAACACCACTATCAGAGCGCACACCCAAATGCCCCCATTCAGCACGTGACACTCTCCAAGAGGCTGTAAAGATTCACATTGCAAAGATGACAAGGTAAGCACCTTCTAACAGAATAAAACCAGACTGCAGAGATTTCAGGTGGCACGTAGTCAGCAGGAGCTTCCAGGCTCAGCCTGCGAGAAAGGAACAGGTCTAATGCATTCGGGCAAGAAACACATTCCACCTGAATTCATTCAGAGTCTGGGCTTTCCAGTGCGATCAGAGGCCTCTTTGCTTTCTCAGGATTGAATCATTTTCTTCTGCGTGTCAAAGACGTATCTTTTAAAGAGAAGAGTGATGGTAACAGGTTGGGCTGAATCATTCTTGCTGCTTTCGTCCTCTTTGTTTGCATCTCCCTTCCCTGCCTTAGATTTTTTCTTGGAGGCAGCAGTGAGAAGCGTCTTGGTTTCTGGCTTCAGCCCATCTGTAAAAACCAAGAACATGCATGACAAAACGGCTCAACATCATATTTCAGTGTGTCTGGAAAAAATGAATAAGCAACTTTACTTCTGCGATCTACCAAAGGAAGTAAAGTACATCAGGAAAGTTACATTTCTGTATCACTTCTGGACTACAGTAAATTACGTGAAAAGTAAGACAAGCCTTCAGAAATAGTTCACAACAGCAATACCCCAAATCCAGTGCAGTCTCCTACATGATCATTCCCAGACCGATTCCCCGGCACACCCTGCAACAGACTTCCCTAAGCTGCATCTCTCTACAGCTTTTAAACTATTAAATGCAGACAAAAATTTAAACAAGCCAGGCCAACTTGCCTAGTCTAGGTCTTTTACTCAGCAGACCTTTCCTATTATTTACACACATTTCCCAGTTTCTTCGCATCAGTGAGAGCATTTATAAAAATATAGGTCATGAATGAAAAATAACAAGTGCTAAAGTACTGAAATTGTATAGAGCCCTATACAAAGAGAAGGTTGTTGAATGTCTATAGTCTATCTCCTAGGCTTGCCATAAACACACTGCTTAGTTTTAGCAAATGATACAGCCCTTTTTTATTTTTATTTTGGGCTAAAACACAGCTAACTGTTACAACTCATTGCTAAGGGAACCAGAATTAACCTATGTATGACTCTGGGGATCTAAACCAACTTGAATTTTTTCTCCAGATATTTGTGCCCAGACAGAAAAAACAGCCCTCTTCTTCCTAAATGGATAAAATTCACTTAAACTTTCCTATTTTATTTTGACTTGACACATTGGTGACACTTTAGAGAAGAAATGCAAGATAGCAAAGTCCAAAGAAATACCGTAAAACAGGAGAGATGCAGCTCCTAAAAGGCCACTCCTGAAGAATTGCTTTCTTAAAGCAGAAGACAGCAATCTCCTTGGAAGCTTATTCAGCACCACCTGAATACACTGAAACGTGGTTCTCAGGCACTTGGCCAAATTCAGTTCAGGTATTTTTAACCTGCGGTGTCACATAACCTTATCTCAAACACTTAATCAGCTTCTCCCCCCTCATATTGAAATTCAGCTGTGGATTCTCATATCACAGCCTGACAAAAAGATTGAGATGCTTATGATTTACTGGAGACAGGAGGTCTACAGGCGCAGGTGATTTGCTCTGTTCCAGACACATCCAGAGAGCACTTTCAGCTGATTGCACGGGGACGTGGCACCAGAGCCCACCTGCTTGTCCTGCTGTGTCAAGGAGCAAATTGTTCCGAGCCCCACACGAAGGGAAGGCAGGAAACAGGGAAGTGTTGAAGCAAGACTTGGAAAGTGCCCATCTGCCATTGCATAACCAGAGCTTCTTCCAGCAGCCCTCGTGCCTTGCCCTGCAGCACAGCAGTGCGGGGACTTTCACAGGCGGAAGGGTCTCGCTGCTTGCAAGACGTGCAAGAGCACGAGAGGAAAACAACCCAACACATATAACTGAAATAACTAAACCAACTCTATCTCACACCAAGGCCGCACAAGTCCAGCCTAAGGCAGAATCAAATTCATGGAGTTCTGTACATCTCGTGTTTCGCAGTCTCGGCAGCAGCAGATTTCTCTTTTCAGATCGAACACAAGAAAGCAATGATTATTTCATTGTGGAAATAATTGAGAGCGTTTTTCCTTGACGGCTGAGAAGTCTGATAATGACTACCTTTGCACATGTAAGGTTCAATTAATCAAACTAGATAATATGGTGTGGCCTGACCACATACTTATTATATGGTTTCATTACATTGTACAGTCATGTTTGATGCAGCTTTTTTTTTTTTTAATTGGACACTTTCATACAAACCCATTAATATCATTAGTATTATAATCACTCCATCTTCATTATGCAAAATAATTTACCATTACATGAAAAGCAACTTATTTCCTATTTGGAAAGCTCCAAGATCATCTTGGGTGCTGCTAGAAAAAACAACAACAGACAAAAGTGAGGAAACCAAAATAAAAACAGAAAAAAAGAGTGACCTCACGCAGCCCTGCTCTCTACCTTTGCAGGATTTATTTCCTATTGTATGCTTTCTACTGTTTTGACCAACCTAATTGTAAGTGTCCCTGAACAGTGTTTCCTCCACTTTCCTGGGAAGACCATTTACTTCTCTGGACAAAGAAACATTTTATTTTGCTCTCTACTTGGTTTCCCTTTCTCGGTCTTATCACTACTGCTACGTTGCTGTTACTGGCACATTGCTGTTTAAGAAAGATGTTTAACTCCAAATCCTCTCAGAAAGACACACTTTAAATTAATTAAAGCAAACAAATCCTAAAACACTTCTATTTACGTTAGCAGGCTTCGCGAGACTAATTTCAAAAAATGCTAATTGACGGAAAGGAGGGAGGAAGGGAGGAGGTGTGACATTAAAACTGCAGCCAGAGTTTTCCCTTGTGGGTCTCTGGAGCTCAGCAGACGGCTGCTGCTGTGCAATCCTCCCGTGCAGGCTGTAGGGCTGCCGGGCACCGATGCCCCCATGCCAGGGCTGCATCAGTATGGGGGCAAAGTCCCAGCCACGAGGATGAAATAATAAAACTGAGCCTCTAATAAAACTGAGCTTGAAAAGCTTCCAGGGAAGCCAAGGAGCACTCGGACTGCCCGGTGGTTTGAACATTATGCCCCAACACTCAGTATATCCTCTTAGGTGTCTAAACAAATGCTTAAAAAATGTCTTTTTCAAGAAAAATAGCATATACTGCACATGGAAGTGAATGGGGGAAAACACTTAAAACCAAGCAAATCTCACCTCCTCCAACCTATCAGTTCCACTTCCTAACACAGGGGAGTAAAAACGCCTCACCTGCAGCTGTAAACATCCATTTGGATTCAAATAAGGCATCTTTGGTAAGAAGTTTACAGAAATGGAAGAATGCGGTAGCTCCTCCATGTGAAATTATGGGCTGACAGCCAAAGGCAGCCCAGGTATTATTAAATTCACAAGGTATCTAAATTACCTAATCAGATCCCACGGCCCTCATTCTGCAAACAGATTAGGTGGCTGGCATCGTACCCTAACAAATGGCATTTTCTGTTTTTCTGCTCTGGTGCCAGGAGGTCTAAGGGCTGAAGAGGCTCTGCGATACGGAGCGGCACAAAGGAGCAGGCAGGGAGAGACAGGCGGGAGGCATAATCGGGGTTTCATCTACCTCCGCGGATTTCTCGCGTTACACACAATGCATGCTTTGCATTTTACAAAACCAAGGAAATGAAGGGAAATATATCTGTCACCAAAGAAGACATCAGACCTTTAATAGCTGAAATGACGGATATTTTTAGATGGAGGTCTAGTTTAACTTACTTACATTAAGGGTCTAATCTCTCCTGAACAATAGCTATGTTAGCTTGAATACATAGTGAGAAATCTGTTCCATTAATTAAGTGCTGCCTGTACTACTCGGATTTGTAGCAAATGTTAATAGATTTTTTTTTCTTCCTCTGTTGGACAATTACTTTATTTTTCCAAGTTGCTAATGGATTAAATTGAAAAGGTCCGTGTGTTAAAAAAGACTTTAGCTTCAAAGTTCTCAGAAATGCCTTGCATACAACAGGGAGAAATACCTATATATTAATATTATTAATGGGCAGTCCTCAGAGGCATAGAAGAGATCTGAAAGCTTAGCAAATTCATTCCCACCCATCATAACCATGCCTGTAACAAGAAGCACCCAGGTCTTGTGTAAAATATACTTGTATATACTAACACATATTAGGTATGGAAATCTAGTAGTAAAACAGTTCAATCTACTTCATTCTTTTACTTTCAATTACTACTACTAATTACCAAATAAGAATATAGGCTCTCAGTCTCATCACAGTCTCAAGGATTAATTCAAACTGAGTCATTAAGAAATGCAAAAATAAAACCTGCCAACTTGCAAACTCAAATGAAAAGCAATACATCATCAGGAAAAAATATTTTCTAAGTTTAAGAACAGTTTTACATACACAAAATACAAGATAAATGCAGTATTTTATACAGCTTTTACAAATAAGTCAAGCTTCTCAATGATTTGCAGTATCTCAGATTTGAAGGCATTGTTGTGTCCAGCAGTTTTACAATTACTCATAAAAAAGTCCAGTTCAGTTTACATGGAAACACGCACGTTCCAGCAGCTTGGTATGGAAATTGCACATTGTGGAGTTCTTGGGTATAAATACAGGAAAACAATTTGTATTTTACTGCTTTCCCCTTTTCTCTTAAATGAAGATACGCGAATCTATGCAAGTTTTAATGTTTCTGTAATGTTCCATGTTCTTCTTATGATGAAGTCTATCAGGGGTCCCTGCAGCAGGGACCCAGCAGAGCCCGGTGTTACACATTCCCTTGCTGACCGCCGAGGTCTCCACATCAGGCCCAGGGGATCGTCTCCATACCAGACTGCTGGCAAGTGGCAGCCAGCACACAAATCACAACACGCACATACAGCACATAAATGTCCATAACCAGCAGGGTTTGCTTGTGTTTTGTTTTTACGACTACTACGTCAGCTGGAAAGAGGAAGAAAGCCAGTGCAGTATCTTTTCTTCTAATTCCTTTTTCTAGTCCAACTGCAGGATGACAAACTATTGCTGTGCTTCCCCCTCCCCACACATACAGGTAACAGATTAAATAAAAATGTAAGTTTAGTAATAGTTTACATTTTACATTATTTCTCTACTTCACATCATGTTGTCATTCCTTATAAGCGTCATCTTTGTTGGCTTTTCTTTTGCTGCTTCTGCTCCTTGAAAGGTTTGCCAAGGGTGGCCTCTGCTATTTCTCCTAAAATCCAGCTCCTTCTTCCCCGACTCCCAATTCCACTTGCTATTCTGCACTTCAGCAGTTGTCTCTTTCCTTTTCCAACTTTAGTTTTCCGATTTTCTGTTTCCAAATTATTTCCTACTTCTACAGATCATCTCCTCTCCAATATTTAAGAATAGCCCTATCTCCTTTAAAGATAATGAAACATTTAAATAGAAGACTTTAA